TTAACACTATTTAGTAACATAATTGAATTCATGTTTTGAGTCACAATAAATTTTGTACAGCGTAATCATATAAATTAAACTAACCTCAGTCTTACTATGGTCTCTTTGGCTATAAGTGATTCATTTACTAATACAAATATTGGTCTATAATTACTGGTCAGCTCTGAACTGTGTATGACTGTCTCCATACAATCCAAACAATTACTCAAAGTGGTTTTGAAGCATGTTGCAAAATGACTTCTCTTTTCCTTTAAAAGTGACCAGCTTCAAGCACAACTCTTCTGTCAACTAAAGGAACCAAACAAGGGCATTTCGCAAGGACACGCAACAAAACAATGTAACATGCACACAATGGTTCACTGGGGAATCAACTGCTTATTCCACGGATGTAAGTTATTTAAGCCCACCACTCTGCTGCTGCTTTTTAGTTTAACATCTTTCTTTTATGTACCTTTTTGTTATGTAGTTTAGTGTGTGCTTTTTGTCTTTATGTAGATGGAAAAATTAAGTTGATATTATTAATTTGACTATCACAAAAAAATAAATAAATAAATAGAAATTTGTGTATGTTGCAAATTTGTGACAACTAGAAACAAGTGCTTGCCAAAGGTTCCTAGGAAGGTACTGCATATGCAAAAAAACAGCACTGGGGGAATGCAGCCGTTATCTCGTCTTATATTTTGATCCAAACAGTTTGTCGCATATTTGTGACAGTCGGCGTTAAGGAGTTAAACTTATCGATCTCCATGACAAGCAGGTGCAATTTTGGGAGAGATGAAAGTGCTCATAGTAAGAATTTATGTCTCTATCCGTATCTATGTATTTTTAAGCTATAAAAAATGTATGGTTGAATAAATGCATGTTTTAAGCTATTGTCATACTGTGGAGCATTCCAGGAAAAGCAATAGCATCTCCAAGGACAAAAGTTACATAGGGTTACAAGCCAGTATTGCATTTTCTTCACAATCACAAATGTTGAACCTGATCATTTCTATTAGTGACCAGACTCAAGAAGTCGCACAGAAATTATTAACACTTAAACGATATTTATTAAGCCAACCCCATCTGTATTAAATATTATTGGCCAATTGGATGTTGTGATGTCATCTGAAACCCAGCAACAGGAGAGTTAGAACCGGTCAAATGATTGCTTCAAGTCAAACAAATCATAATGAAACGCCCCCATGGGACAACCTGCTGTCATTCAATGCGCTGGATGGATGGGCTGGAGTGATGCTCTCTGACTCCTATGGGATATGAAAGGTTAAGCTAAATACCACTGGCCTGGACTAGGGCATTGAGCACATTGCGAGGGAGATGTATAGGGACATCGATCAAGGTTCAGTTCGGTTTCTCATCACCCTCCATTGAACAGCTATCTATACGGTTAATATTAGAGTATGCAGAGCCACACTTTAAGGCACTATCCTGGGACTGGAGGGTGTGAACTAGTGCTCCCCGGGGGCTTGTGGCTCAACTCTACGGCTTTTGTACGCGCCCATTACTAGAGACGGATAGATTTCACTAAACTGCTGAACAAACAGCCCATTTGGTCATTTGCATATATTACGGTAATGGAAAGAGAAAAATGTATCAATAAAAAAGAGCAGCTATTAAAGACTCCACTCAGGCTTATCCTCGTGCTGTTGCTCCCGTACATTTTAATGCTAAATGGTAGTAATGGTCATTTCTCAAGTTTGTGGCAAGTTTGTGGCATATATATATATATATATATAAATAACTACCTGATAAGCTATATTTTCTGCTGATAAAAAACTGTCCATGTCAATTAATAAACAATTTCCCTTACTGTCATGCAAGAAAGCAGTTATGATTCTCTTTTATTCACTGTTGATTTAATGTTAACTATGATGCACGTTAAGCAAAATTAACTTGATAAAACTTCCTCTGGTGGTCAGCATTAATTTGTGCACTGACTTTATTACTGTTTTAAATTATGAATGTATATTGCTCAGACTTGGTTTACATATTCTGCAAGGGGTTCATCTCAGACCAAAGCCACCATATGAAAATAAGATTTACTCAGGAGAAACTTATTATTATTATTATTATTATTTATTTTATTTTTTTTACAATCACTTACTCTAATGATATTGCAACAGCTAATTTCAAATGCAATATCTCTGCAATATGTTTACAATTAAAAGCCTTCAAATAAATGAATGCCAAAAATAATAAAAGATATGATTCTATGAAAAAATGAAGTTAAAACCATATTCTGGAACATTCTCCATGGAGAAAGACAAGTTTATTACCATACTATGGAAAATTATAGCCAAAAAAACAACTAAATTTCCATGGAATCAACCAGGAAGAGTCAGGTTTGCAGAGATGTAAGTGCACTCAAAGTATGGACAAATGTTTTTCAATGCAATAAACAGAACCAAAATGAAAAACATGTCTATTTACTAGCCAAAAAAGTAATGTACAGTAGCTTTAAGCACATTTTCTTTGTTATACGCTAATCAAATTATGCTCAGTCTTTATATATAAAAGCTGAAAATTAGAAACACTAGTCATATGGTGTTAAAATATGTAGACATAATTCATTGTTGTAAGTTTAATTAGAACCATGATGCTGTGGGGCCCATACCACATGTAAAATACCTCACAGTGACCGCGGCCTCCTTAAATTAATCTTAGGGAAACGCCTGACAGGAGCAAGAGTGAAGCTTCGCCCCCTCCGCGCTCCTGCTGCCAATGACTCCTACTCCGCCTCTGTTACACAAACAAGCCTCCATACTACCTCATTCATCACGCGGGCCGACCGTCAACACCAACGCAGCTTCACTTAACTTTTTCAGGGTTGCCCGAGCATCAAATGTATGACTTTTGGAGCCTGTTGTTCTTCCATCTGTCACGTTTCAAGGAGCCAACATCCCTTTTTTAATCCCACGACGGAGGGGTTTTAAAAAGGTATGTCTGCCTTGGTATGTAGCCTGTCTAGCGTGTACCAGAGAAAATGTCAAACCAAAATATACAGCGGAGTACGGCGCACTGGCATTGTTCTAACACTTAGGCACAAGGCAGACTCCCGTTCTACATAAGCCCACTGCAAACACTCCCAGTTAAAACCTCGGCAAATCAAGCACAGTTTGCGCTTTATCTCTTCATCTTCCTGTTTGCTCGATGAGTCTGTGCTTTTCAGTTTCATCTGCGCCCGCTCACACAAAAGCAGCCAGCACCTGATTTCAGAGGTGGTATTAAGTGAGAGAAAACATTATCTGCGATGACAGACTTGTGAGAAGTGGCTTGTATTTACTCGCGCAAACTGTGTGTTCAAGCAAATGGGCCGCTGCTCCTTCAAGGGCTGAAAGGAAAGGCATAATCGCAGTCGATTTCTGTGCCGTGGTTAATACAATGAGACTAGTGCTGTCATACATCTGTCTTTGTTATTACGTGGCCATCTTTAAAGTGTATACATGATGAGGCCTTTACATGCGGAAAGTGGGGTTGAAGTTTAAGTGTATTCTTGAAAAAAGCCCATTGTGCTACAATATATCATCTCATTCTGAATGTATATGAGTTAAAGAACTATATGTCAAATGATGTTATATCTTAAAACTTGATTATTAAGTAAAACATTTTCATACACAAAATAAATGTAAAAGATACTGCATAATACCTGTGGATCTGCTATAGACTTACAATGATGCAGCAAATAAAAGCTAAATGAGATGTCTTCTTATGCCTGGACTTTCTGTCTGAGTGTGCTACTGTATTCCTGTATCAGACACAGATCAGGTTAAATGAGGAGAGAAGAGAGAGGAGGGGTCTTTGAGGTCACAGCTGGTCCACCTGTGTGAGCCCCTAACACAGGAGGGACTGCAGAGAGGTGCAAGGCGGAAAGGCAGGAGCTGTAAACAGGGAAGGGCTTACAGACAGGGGAGGGCTATGTATAATGGGAGGGGCTCTAGACAGGTGAGGTGGGGCACTTCAGACAGTCAGGGAGATCCACATAGAGCTATATTTGCACTTCTTCATTTCCTTTCACTCCAGACGGCAGCTCTCAGAGGAGCATGGGAATCAATACTGACATCGGTGGGTAGAGCTGCCTGCTCTGCCTGGGAGTCCCCACCAGGGACATCTCAGCTTCACTTTTTTAATTACACAAATTTAAGAGCTACTCTTTGACTGGAAGCAGATTGGTAATGTGTTAGAAAGCTATTACTCGACTACCACCCAACGTGCAAATTCAACCTCAATAAATCTTAAACCAAAGGAAGGAAAATTCAGGTTAAAAGCAGTCTTTTGTGCTAGTTCCTAACATACAAGAACACCTACATATTTGTTCAAGGACTATTGAGTAAATCTTTTATATTCTAATGTATGAGGGAAGACAAAAGGAACCAATATTCTGTTTTTGTCACAAAAGTCACCCTTGCCTCACGGTATTGACAAATAGACTTGATTTCCACCATTGATCAAATGTATAGAGCCAGGACCTTCCCTCTCAGAAAAGGGCATTCGAGAAAGTGCAGAGACATGGCTAATTCAATTTGGGAGCCCAGATGCTGGGCTTTAAGTGAAACACTCTGTTATCGAAACAGGAGAGGTGCCACAAGAGAAGATAGTGCACGGATGGCTGTGTAGAGGCTCATGGCCGGGCAGAAGATAACATCGGGGATAGGCGATAAGTTGGTGCGAGGGGCTGGAGGCCCTATTAGAGTCCCCAGGGGACAGTGATGGCACAGGCCAGTAAAAATAGCCATAGGCATGATTTCACTCCAGGGAGCAGGGAGGAGGGAAGACAGAGATCTGATCAACACTGCACAGCAAGGCAGCCCGCTCCATTCCACAAGTTCCCCTGGGTGCCACCTATCACACCAAGTGACTTAAACTGCTTACCTCTGGCAGGAACAACAAAAATAGCACCGCCTTTACCTCGACTGTGGACAAACAGATACAGCGGCCTTCAAACATCTTACCTATTTTCCTGTAAATAAACGAACATCCACACTGGCACCTATTAAGGATATAGACATCTTCTCAACAAACTTGTCTTGTGGGTCGTCCGTCTTGGGGAAGTTGGTGATATCATTCTCCAGCCTCTTGATGTGTCGCTCCATCGTGGCCAAGCTGCTGTTCAGGATCTCAGCCGATACTGTCAAAACAATACAACACAAACTCTGTCACTAAACAAGCCAATTTTATTTCACAGCTACAGCAGAACCAGCAAAAACCTAGCACTATTGAACACTGTCCATGTGTGAATGGCTGTGGTTATGTTGGGACATGCTACTCATTGCATAATCCATTTGTGTGGCCTAGAAAGCCTGGAAGCATGTGTGTACAGTGTGCTCATTAATCAGAGTGTAATCACTGCTGCTGGAGATGCTGTTAAATCCTCGGCATTTAGATCAGACCTTGGACTCCTGACTTCAAACAGACCGGTCTTATGGGATCAAGTGAGACATGAGCCCGGACTCGAGTGGTGTGTAAGGCTGTAATTCAACTGATGCACAAACACGGTGGTCTAAAGAAACAGCTTTTTTTGATGCATCATACAGTATGTTTACATTCAGAATCAGTATATAAATCACTGCAGCCCTTTATTACGCAAAATTATGTTAAAATGTTGTTACCTCCTCGAAAACATACCTAAGTTATGTTTTGTTTCATTCACACATGTTTGAGTAACACAGTATTACTCGGTCTACACCTCAAAAACCCAAAATGCGCTGTTCCACCTTGTTATGTCATGTAGTGATAGTTTTCAAGTTAACAGCTACCTTTACCTTTTGTAAAGGGCTAAAATCATCCAAATGAATACAGTGAAGGCTTATGCAGTTTAAAAACCATACATGATAAGGTGGAACAAGGTGTTTTCTATTTGAGAGAAGAACTCTATAACCTAAATATACAGGTTTTGTGTGCTAAACATGCGTGAATGAGATGAGAAAACAATAATAATAGTGGATAAAAAATAGTGGATAATATGTGCTCTTTTAATATTGTATATGTTGGGGGATTTTTTGGTATATTTTCAAGACCAGGGACTAGGGATCCTTTCAACTAATTACACAAATAATTCAATAATTACAATAAACGATGATGAATAATGAAATGACAATGCTATTAAACTACTTTATTAAATGAGCTGAATAAATATCAAGCCAATAATTGACATACTGGATTTAATGAAAAAGAGAGTCCTATGATAACGCCATTCTATGCTTTATTATCGTTTAATTAAAACACTGCATGAGCTGAAACTGAAAAGTACAGACTAATAAAAAGACTGCCGCGCTCTGTAAGTGGGCTTATAAAAAAGTCTATTTAAATGTACACTCCCAACCACTGTTCATAAAATTACAAATTAAAACATTATGTGAAGAGCCTAATATATTAGGTCTGGCTTTTTTAAAACTAAGCAACTCTACCAAACTGCTAACCTCTTAACACAAATATTTGCTAACTAAAATGTACGCAAATGTAACTACAAAAGTGCAACGGAGGTCTAATTTGACATAATTTATTGCATTAGATGTCTGCAAGCAGAGGACTGAACGGGACTGTAGAAAAGAAGAAATTGTGGGTGAAAAGCCAAGCTGTCAAGAGATCTGACCTCTGTGACACAAGGGTCAATCCAGTCTCGCATTACATCAATTTCACTGTTTGATTCGCTCTCTTTTCTCATTTTCAGATGATAGAATTGGACGGTCGTATTGTGGATCTATTTTGTTCTCCAAGCTCCACACACACATACACACACACTTATAACTACCCGCCACCATAACCCTAGAGACCCTACAAAAAGCATAAGGGCTGAGGTCAGTGTCATTATGAGACGTTTGAGAGAAGCGAGAGAGACAGACAGAGAGACAGAGAGAGAAAAAGAGAGAAAGAGAGACGGGGGGACATAGTGAACCCTTCTCTCTCCACAGTTCTTCTGACAGGGGAGAGCGGAGTGGGAAAACCGCACTATCACATGACGGGCGTCTTCACTGAAAGGCCTCATGCTCTTGTCACTATGATCTCAGGCTCGCTAATGGCTGCAAACAAAATGGGCGACTGGGGACGGATGGATCAATGCTGGAGAAGACACTGGCAAAGTACTTACAGGAGTGTTGGGTAACACACTGCCTCAGTACATGTCTCTGATGTGATGGTTGGAGTATACTGGGTGATTTTGAAACAGCACGATTTTGTATTTAAAAGTCATATATTAAGCAAAATTTACTCTTGAATTATGTTAGAATGCTGCTACCTCATCAAAAATGTACCAGGAGTTGTGTTTTGTTTCAGTCACAAGTTTGAGTAACCCATTATTATTAGTCTGTATACATCTCCGCAGTTATAAATGCTCTTTTCCACCTTGTGATGTGTCATGAAGCAGTAGTTTTCATATTAACAGCTATCTTTTACCTTTTTTTAGTTCATGGAAATTGGCAGTTCAGTGCTGAAATCATCCAAATGATTATAGTAAAGATGTATGGAGGGGAGCACTTCAAGTTTTCCATTTGAGAGAAGCACTCAGACTTAAGCTACGTTCAGACTGCAGCCTGAAGTGACCGATTTTTTTGCCCCTATGCGACCTGTATCTGATCTTTTAATGACAGTCTGAACAACACAGATCCGATTTTTTCAAATGCAACCCAGGCCACTTGGAAATGTGCTTCTAAAACCGATACATATCCGATTATTTCACATGCGACATCAATCTGAACGGCCAGGTCACATTTGTCCCACCTACACGACACAAATGTACACAACAAACGTTCTTCTCGACATACGAAAATTGTGTATGAACTCCGCACCCACACTTTCCTTTCTTTGGACGTTGGTGCCACTTGCCCCAAAAAAACACCATGGCCAAAAACTTCATCCTTCTCATTCTCAATCTCCTCCTTAAAACAAATAAGGTACATGTTCTGGCTCCGATACGACAGCAATTTTAAAATCGGCAGGTGCTCAATGTGTCCATGTTTAGGTGACTTCCGTAAACACTGAGTATGCTCGCTGCATATGATGTAATCGTGTCCTCCAATGCACATGTGGGACACTTTGGGGGCATTTAAAGTTCACACTGGAGATCACATACATACAATTTCACCAAAAAAAAAAAAAAAATCTGCATTGAGCATTAAACCCTGCAGTCTGAACATAGCCTAAGTAAGCAGTGTTTGTGTGTTAGTGAGTTAAACGTGTGAACGAAACAAAACACAACTCCAGGTAAGTTTGTGATGAGGGCCTGGGGGAGAGAGATGGCAGGCAATGTGATGAAAGAAGAGTATAATACATTTTTAATATCTAAATGCTTTGGAGATATAATGAACATGTCAGGAAAGCTGTGTACTTGTAGACTGACAACAGAGAACACAAGTTTGTATGATCATTACCTGGAGAGATGGGCTGTCTATGAGCTTTTCATTTTCAATAAAAGTCTGCTTGCTTTTTTATATAAAATGATATGCATTAAGTTAAGGAGCATTGGTCGCTTTTATAATCCGGGGGAGTCAGAGCAGAGCGGATTCATCTGGGATATCATTAGTTAAATTACCACCAAAATAACATTGCTATCTTCAAGGGAGCAAACATAGAAAACGGGCTTCATCCGAGTACACTTCATAAGGGGATCAAAGGAAAGAGGCCATTTTACAGTCTGTCCCTCCAGGCAGATGGGAATTCACAAACATGCTAAATTTTACTAATGACCACTACCAAACGGCGCTTCCTGCCAGAGTCTGTCACTGACACAGAAAAGTATTAATCTGGGCCTATAGGTCTCACAGCCTTATGCACAATGTTGGCTTCACTAAGTATGCAAAATAAAGTCTTAAAAATTCACTTGCTTCATGTAGACTCTAGTTAACTGGGTGAGCATTTGGTCTTGCACCGTTTTTCACCCTCAGTTTCTCAGAGGATACAAACACATTACGTATTTGAAAGTGCTATAGTTGATTTGCCGTCTTTAAAATGTGAAAAACATAACTACTTTATTTCAAACGTTTTCCTGCAGTCTGAAGTTATTCCTCACTTTCCTAATGCATCCATAGCATCTTAATTATTAACCACATAGTTCATAAGCATGTTTACAAATCTGACAGCAGTTTTGCATTCACAGTAATGCAAACAAACATTATGAGAGGATGAAACGCTTTATGCTAAGACGCATACGGCATACAGTGACCTTATTTTAAAGGTGCACTGCATAACTTTTCTGGTGGATGGTTTGTTACCTACTTGTCTCCATGGAGATGTTATTGTTTCCCTGGAATCTTTCATCGTGTGACATGAAACATATCCATCTAGCATTTATCATTACGGGTGTTTGTATTGCTCAAAAATACAATCATTTCTTCTGTGAATAGGGACAACTCTCCACAGATCTGAATTGTAATGTAGCGTAGTGTTGTAACTCACTTGTCTCCCTTGAGGCAGATAGGTTTTATCTATACTGTGGAACATTCCAGACAAAGCAATAACATTTCCAAGGAGATAAACAGAGATAAACCCTCCACTAGAAATGTTACACACCTTTAAAAGCTGTTTTCACAATATGGCAAAACAAATTTTCAGTTACATGGGAAAAAATAAAAAATCAGGAACAGCCCCTTTAACCACTTTACATTTCTAATAACTAATCATCTCTCCTCTCTTCAAGTAAAAACACCATTCCAACCCGACAGTTATGAGTGGGCAGATCTATTGTATTCACTCTCCAACCTTGTCTGTTTTATGTCGATCCAAAATCTTTGCTGGTAATGTTTTACATGCACATTTTAGTTAACGGTTATTTCTACACCAGAACAGTGCTCCTCTTGAGTATTGGCACCCCTGGCAAAAACTATGGTAATATAAGCAACTTTGAGTTTTGAAACTTTCTGACACCGTGACATGAATAACTTGCACCCTCCAGTAGTATTTCACTTTTTTCTATGTTTTTATGCAATGTTTTTTGTTTATTTTAACTCTGGTTTATTCAAGAATGTCACTGCAAAATAGAAAGCATTGTAAACTTTTGAACACTTCAGTAGCCTATATCGCTTTGACATGAGTGACAAACTGTGTAAAATGTTAAGAAATGTAATGGAAATTTCATGCGCCTGAATAGGTATTTTATAAGCTTATATTCTGTAAAAAATAGAATTATATTTCACA